CTCCCCAGTTATATTTACAGTTTAGTGATGTTTTAACCTATCTAGTTTCTCAACCAATAAAATTGGTTTTTTAGGTGACAGGAAACCCAGGTCTATATTTTGTGTTAGTCGGTATTGGATAGTTAGGTTTACTCATAATCTTAGAGGAATCGATGCCCTGTGCATTAGTAGAACCCACTCAGCTTCATAATCAAACGTTACTACCAAGCCTTCCTGGCCGCAACTGATCTTTGCATCGCAGATACTCACATTGTCTGTGCGCCATTTTATTTCTTAGTACTAATCAAGTGTCTTAATAACTAGCATGATATGTGGGCTTGTGGTTGTCTGTAACCGTTCAACATCAGAATATAGTGGGCTCGACGTTCAATCACTTTATCTAGTTGTCATATGGCTATTTGATCGATGAAACTGAGCAAATAGTATAAACTAAACAATCATGATACTAGTTATTGGTTAGTGTTAGTAGTTTATTCCACCTGTTCTGAGTCGTGTTATAGTTGGAAGTCGATTTATTTGATCATTGAACTGTTTCTCTAGTAAACTAAGACAACTCAGATTCTAGTCACTTAATATAGGTAGTAAAAAATGAAATTTAATTCATGCAAAGTAAACACTTATTTAATGTTTATTGTTAACCACTTTGCTGCTTTCATTTTATTGAAAACATTGTTGATATCTTTGAACTTATCAGTAACTTGAAATTCAATGTAATTTTTTTGTATTTTTGTATATTAGCATCATGCTGTTCAAAATACACTTCGACGTCCAACAGATAAAAGTAATAATCTAACTTCAGGCCAACAGAATTCACAAGGACATTATCAACAGCAAAATTTGAATAGAAGAGCTAATTCACCGAACAAGGTGTTTACTAACCCAAATCATCCAGATAGTGCTTCATTGCGTGATCCACAAAAGGTGAATCAATGGCGTCATCATTTGTGTAATGGACCTTGGTTTGGTTGTTATGAAACTGGTAGGTGTTGTAAATTATATTTCTTAATTTATTTATTTGGTAAGTATGAAAACTCTACCTCTTCCCTATTAAAGTAAAGGCTAATGCGTTCCGAGTATTAAGGACTCAAATCAGATGTTGGAATAAACAGTTTATAGAGTTCTAGTCATCTAACTTTTAACTGATGAAAATATCACGTGAAAATTTACGCAGTGTATTATCCAAAACGTGTATGAAGATTTACGTTAAAAAAAAACTTATTAAAACGCCAATTTATGTAGAAAGATACATTTCCTCAGATATTTTGGTAGACAGCTATTCTATTCATTTGTTATTTCAATCTTTACTTAGCTAAACGTTTAAGAAAGCAAATGGAATCCGGTCACATAGTAGTTGAACGTCATGGTAAGTTCTGTTTGAGTTCATTTGTATTCATGTAAACAGCATTATATACATATTCTTTCGCTTTCTTTAAATTAATGTATTCTGATAACTGACATAAAACTTGTGGTTTTAATCTTCGCCTTCCAAAACTTAATGGAGTGGTGACTTAGTTGTTAAGTCCCTAGTTTCAACCCCACTACTTTGCTTTAGGTAACCAGGTTGTAGTATTATTAGCCCACATTTAAAGTATGGCTCATACTCGGGTACCTGCTGAATGAATTAATTTAATTTTTACTCAAAACTATAGGTACAGCTTTTAGTTTCATTTTAATTTTGTGTCATTTTAGTCAAATTGTATCTTTAACACGTAAATCCTTATATGTGAACAATACGTTTTATTTATTCTTCTAGTTTGTTATCCATGTTTGTTAATAATTTGACGTCTAAATTTGTAGCTCACGAGAATGATTTCGGCGGATTTGCGTTCTTTGAGTTAAATTGCTTAGTCGTGAAGCTTTTATTCTGTTTTGTTAGATAACACTATGTCAATAAAACAAGCTGTTATTTGTTTGTGAAGATGTTCTAACAGCTCATTTCTATGTGAAGTTTGTAGTGATGATTCTGTCTATAAAGGCAATACAAGTTCAACGGCTAAATCACCCTACTCACGGAACTCAACTCCACCAACATCATTCTTAAGTTGTAACAGGTTGAATTAAATTTGACAGTTATGTTTAGTAGTGTTGAACCTAAACTAACTAAATAAAATTATCCCAAAAATGGAATAAATAATTTTCAAGCAGGGAATATAAAACGTATCATAACTTTAAGATCGATAAAAATGATCTCCATATTTTTTATGGACAGGTAACCAATATGGTTATATTTTAGACTTTAATTCTAATAGTTTTCTCCCAAAATTTTCTTTTTACATTTCGGAGTTTTACGAAATAGATTAGAAAATATATTCTAAAACTGCCTTATCTTCTGATACCCGTTTAGTTGGAGGCTCATATCAATAATTCGATCTCATGAACAGTCATAACTTGGTCACATTATATATTATCAGTATTCAAACATTTTTTCATTATAAATAATCAAAATCTAACTCAGAATGAACAGAATTATATCAACAAAAAAGAAATAGTAATACTGTGTACAGAATTTGTAGGAGAGCTTATTGATAAACAAATTTATTTACTGAATGTTTTGCTCTATATTAACAGGCGGATCGTAAATAAAATGATCACTACTTTACATCAAATAATACCTGATGCTTATTGTATCTGTCTGCTAGTTATAATATAAACCTCATCATATTAAAGTTTATTGTCAAATATGATTTATACAATAATGTCGATATGATTGATTTTTTTTAGGACTACAAGGGTTTATATTTTCTGCAAAACCTCCAAGCACTGAAGACTCATGTATTGATTCAGAATGTAAGTTTACTTCATACCTCAGGTATCAGTAATTTTTTCATCGAGATCATCATTAGTATGTCTTGAAATTGTTCATATGAGAATTTTTTAAAAGAGCTAATTTTCCACCAAAAGCCAATACTGATTAAATTTACCTAAAATGTCAGTTTTTTTGCAAAAAGGAAAAAACAATGATCGAATTATCAGTTTAATCATTCGGCTTTTGGCTAATAAGCGAACCATTAAAACAAATCAAGATTCAGACAGATAGTTCATATCATTACCGTCTTCATGCAGCAATTGTACATCAAAACCTTGAATACCTAGAACGCGTATTTTGTTTTTGTTATTTCTTTTTACAGAATCTAAAAGTAAAATGGAACTATTTTTTAAACAATATTTTCTGTAATTTTTTCAGCTCAGTCTGTTACTTTAGGAAATGTACGTGCACGTTCTGTAATGGAAAGAATTAGGCAAAAACTGACTGGCACTGAAAGAGATCAAATGATGAGTGTTTCTGCTCAAGTAGACTTCCTTATACGTGAAGCAACTTCAAATCAAAATTTATGCCAAATGTATATAGGCTGGTAAGTAGTTAGTTATGTTTTATTTTGTTTTTAAATGCAGTATTGGTGACACTATAAAAGTGTTCTATCCGTCCTTGAGCGACTGTATAGTTCACCAATTAGAATGACAGTTGTTTGTTTTGGCAATGACTAGGATTATTTTAACAACTGGTATGAGTTTTCATTATTGACATTTCAGTCACTGGTGCAATCGTATCATTGTATTAGTAATATTTACTGTGGTGTTGTACTCCTATTCACTGCCTTCTCACGGTGAGGGTGTTGTTTACGAAATTGAGAGGAAGAAAAACGAATGTCTCGAGCTTAAACTGGGTTGGTAGAATTGGAAAACCCTGGTCCCAAACTAGTAGTACTAGTGAGCTCCATGAACCCGATGGGACAAATGGCGTATGGACTTATTTTTGGTTACCCGCTAGCATAGAACTGCATTTCCTAACGTTGCTCCACTGCCTTATTTGTAAAGCATCTTGTTGAAAGGCTTTGGGAGTGACCCCTTCAGAAAACTACCTGAATCGGTTTAGACACCTGGACAGTATTTCTGCACAAAAATAAATTCAATGATTTGTGTGGCGCAAAGGAGTAGGGATATAAGCTAATTGTTATAACTATCAGTGTTTAAGAAGATTGTTTTGACATTAGTGAGAATGTAACTATAAACGAATTTCCATTCATGCGAATGACAGATGTAAAAGACATGAAAATGAAATTATTTTGTGTTTGAAAAGAAAAGCATTCAGAGATGAGTGTTGTTGCAATACTCAACTTCTCATTATGGTGTTTCTCCCACTAAATGACATTCAGTGTTTTCGAACAATTCACGCAGTAAGGGAATCCTTTTCGATCAGTTCATTATTTTAACTTAAGATTTTTCGTAACATGGATGAACAATACTCGAATGTCAACTACAATAAAAACTAAGTGTAATTGATCATATTGTCTATTTCGAAAATATTCCTAAGGATCTAGTGATAAACGATACAGAATAAGTATCGATCTGCCAAATAAACGCATGAAGAGTTGTCAAGTAGCTTTTCATTTCAATTAACATTATAACTGGTATCTGTCATTAATTAATTATAATCCATACAATATACATAGTCTAAAGTAGTTCCATACTGTGCATAATCATAGTAGTATATTTACGAAAATTTCATTGTTATGTTTGTTATACAGGTGTGCTTTCTGGTGATATATTAGTTTTATTCAATGATCAATTAATCAATCAGCTATTGTATTTTTCTTATTACGTTACCATTGAATTATTTATGAAAGTGTAAATTTACTTTATCAGTTAACAAATTGGTTTTCATCTAAATTATTGTACAGTTTTGTTGATTAAAAATGCCTTCTTATTTAAAAGAAAAGACAGGTTTTCTGGTTTTTGCGTTCTTTCTTATTCAGTGAAGACGAATCATTTCCATTCAATTTTGTTAGTGATATTAGATACTTTCCAACAGTAGTAGCAGTAGAAGGCATTAAGAGACTAAATCTAGAGTAGTCACGTTTCGTCCATCATAAGCTTGTGAAACGAATTTAATTATACCATCGTGAAATAATCCTTACTTATCCTAGTTCTGTGGAGCAGGTTTAACATAAATCTATGCTGAAAAAATACATATTACTTTATATAACAATCTCATACTTTAAGCATAGTCATTGGAAAACTAGAGATTATCATAGGAGTGAAAAAGATTTATCTTTTTTTAATTATCACAAAAATGTTCTGTACAACACATTGGGTCTTCTGTTTTTGATGTTAACATTTCCTTTTGGCTCGTTTCAATCTTCTTTTTCGATCAATAATACTACGTGTATGACGATTGTAGAACCATACTTTTATAATTTTTTTGTCAACATTTAATTCTTTAGCCAATTCTATCAATTCATGTGCAGATAGTTTTTTATTCTGTCAAAAGAAAAACCAGCAACATAATTTTGTAAGTTACAGCATGATTCTCTATCAAGACTGAAAAATAACACGTTGCTGACTGATCGTAACAATAATGGTTACAAAGTTAAATAAACTGTGGTAAGATTTTCAGTCTCGATATTTGAAGTTCAGTAAGGGCCTACAGTACTTTCAGAATTAGGAACGATCGATCTACTCTAGTAACGCCGATTCTACTGTATAAATCGATAACAAAAAACTGGCACATAACACTTCATCACTTGTCCGCTAACACAAGAAGATAAATTGTGGAGAGACTCTATACTCGAAATACAAGACGCAGAACAAAACAAAATTATGTAGTAACGAAAATATGCATACACAGCTTTAGCAAACTACAAGCGACGGAAGTCAACCACAAAAAGGCAGAAGTCGTGCAAAAAAGTAAATTACAAAAAAAGAAGCTTGCGGTTATCGTTTCTAGCAAGGTTTTACCATTGTTACCAAACTTTGAGTAATCTTGTGATCGCCTTGATAGGTATCAATTAACGAGTCGAAAATTTTACTCAGTTATTCATACCAAGTGGGATTTGATCTAGGTTGTTGCTTCATCACACATTAGCACGGCATTCTCAAAATAAAAGAAGTTAGCAGAGGTTGATCCAGAGATATATTTAACAATAGTAAGTGGTGGTTTTCCTTCTAAAAATAGGACTAGGATATAATTATTTATGCCCATAACTTCACCCGAATAATACAATTTAGTGATCATCTTATAATGTCAGTAAAGCTTGCCAAAATTTTATCTTATTTGATCAAACAAGTCGACGTCTTAGGAAATTGAGACGTTCAAACTAAACAAATATACTGTGAAGCAGTAAATTACCATCCGGTTGCGGGGATTATAAGAATTATGAGAAACGAATTAACGACTAAGTGTAAACACTAACTTGTCTATAGATTCGCTCCAACTCCCTTCTTGTAGAATCAGGTAGTATTGTTCTCGGTCGTCGTTTTGGGAATTTCGAAAAAACGGGACTTTCAGCCTAAAACACAGATAATTAAAAATATTTGACATAGAAAATAGTAGCGAGAAAAACGACTCACGAACTTGGAATTGATTTTTACTATACTTAAAATTAACCAATTTTTCAACAAGTAAAAGGAAACAATAAACTAGTTTTGACTTATTTGTCTACTACTAGACAACTAATAAATTAATAGGTGGTTATTTTGCCTTATGTCACTACAATTTACGGAAAATTTAACTTAAATTTGCGATCGCAGTTGTTTGTGGAATTTATACATTTCTGTAGAAAAAACCAATGGACGTAATGTCGATTGATGTATTATTCCATACTTTCCGTTTCTCATTTTTAGTCTTTTATCAAATTTGATACTTCACGGTTAGCTTAGCATTGAGTGTAGTATTAGTTTCCATCGTTTGCTTATCATTTTACTGATGTTCTCTTATTGTGCCGGTGTGAGTGGCAATGTGTTGCAATATGCATTAATGCTAGGTCCTATGTTGCTTATAACTGAGTGAGATAAAATCTTATTACTTTTTAGTAATGACCTTTGACAGAGTGCTGAGCAAGCACGCTTGTGAAGTGAATAGGACTAGTAAATTATAAAAATACACTGGTCTGTTCTGTACCGAATATATGTGATCTTGTAGTTTGTTTGCTAAGTACAAGTTTATGTTTTTGGTTTTAACTCACATTTTTCATGTGGGGACTAGTAACACTACCTAATTCTCCGAACCGAAGGAAATGTAGTGGGGTTTGAACCTGATGTTTGGAAGTCGAGTGTTTCATTTACTAGATCACTGCTCTACATATTTTCGTACGACTAGGATTGGTTTTCTGATGAAACAAACTTAGTAAAACGTCCAAATGTGATAATCAGCCAACAGCAAATTATTTTCAGAGAAAATTGTCGCAGTATACCCCAATCCCTCAATAAACCGCGTAATAGTCATATCAAACACTTCATTTTAGAACTGTCTCTTAGGTAAAAGAGTCTGAGTATTTAAAATTTGAAGTAATTAGATGTTCAAAATATCATTAAAATTATATTTGAGTTTATATTAAATGGTGCGTCAGTTGTACATTTCTGGTTAGCAAGGGTAAGGATTACTTAACATAGTTAATGACCAAAAACATTATTTTACATTAAGAAAATGTAGTCAGCATTATGATTTCAAAGGAACATGTAGTGAAACTAAATGATAATCATATTTGTGAAATAGGACTTTGATAATCATTAGCGAGATTTTTCGTCATGAATGCTCATTTTCAGTAATGATGGATACTATTAAAAGGTTTTTTAGTTCGTATTCGTACTAGCCTGGTAAAAACAGTGCAAAATATAGCGGTATGAACAATTTAAATTAAATACCTCATCTACACTTTGTTTATAAATGTCTTGAATACTAACAAGAGCAAATCATTTAGGACTAGAACACTAATCACGTTAAACAAGTAGAAAGTACGAACTAATGAACAAGCCAGCTATATTTCTAAGGAAAAATATTCAGTTACCTGAGGACTTTCTTTGACTGGTGATTTCGTATCATTATTATTATTCTGAAAATCAACAACAGCTCGAATAATTTTATCGCGACCATCAGCAGTTTCACTATCCTTCAACCATCTTAGAATAATCGGATAAACTTTCAAGTAATTGCTTAAACTAAGATCCATTCTTTCGAAGCGTGAAATCATGGATACACTACGATGTACTCCGTAAAGTTTTCCAAGTGAATTTGCAACATCAGTTTGCGAAAGATCTAAAAAAATGGATATACCTGTGTAATTTAACCATATTAACAGAGTTAAACCTAGTCTTAAACGAAAAGGAAACATGATTCGCTCCCAGACGCCATTCGAACTTCTTAGTTTAAAGGTAATGTAATCCTCCGAGTATTGTTTATTATTAATGATTATAATGTATAGAAAGTAAACTAATGCGCTTAGCAAGATGATGCGATCAGTAGTCTGCATGCATCCGAATGGATCTCAGAGATAAGATAAACCCGGAAAAACCAGAATGCACTGACTGGGTATTGAGCAATCAAATTTTTACTCCTTGTCAAGTCCCAAAGGAGAAAGGACACTTATCAGTACTTTACTTTTTTCACATTTTCCGATGTAATATAGTAACGGACTCCATCGATCGAAAAGTTTGTATTAATGGTTGTCCAGGACAAAGCACTCATAGGAAGCTACTATAAAGAGCGGCTACAACAAGTAACATCGCTCAGAGATAGACTTATCTTTACACAGCACAGGTCTACTTGTAGACTTTACACTTAAGGCTCCCAGATGCCCTTATACGGCCGAGAGTGAGGAGAGTTCGCTCTCACATGGCCTCAGGTATGCAACCACTGCCAGAAAAGTCCTACTCGCTGCCTTCTTGCGGCGGGTGTGTTGCTCACTAAATTGAGGTGACAACCGAATGCGTTGGTGGATATGAAGAATCCACCTAGGGCATTTGGTGAACCCTGGTTCCAAACCAATGGTGTACATGGGCTCCAGGATCCTGAAGGAACAAATGGAGTATGAACCTGTCGTTGGTCACCGATTATCATGGGACTACGTCTCCTGACGTTGCTCCACTGCATTGTGGATTAGACCTTTAGGTTAAAGGCTCCGAGTATGGCCTCCTAAAGAAACCATGTGCTCCGGTTCGAGCACCCGGGCAGTACTACAGGCCTCACACAAATCAATGATAACTACTACGGACCTCACTGTTACTGTGTAGCGCATATGTATTTGGTGCCCCCTTGTATCAACGTTTATGTGTCCAAGTAAATAAATAATATTATTCAGAGGAAGAAAAACTGCTTCATTTTCAAAACAATTATAATTGGGGTTCGATTATATTTATTAGTATCCAGAGTGTTAATATTGGTGCACAAATCGGCGATGACAATCAAATTGATGAACAATCAAGTTGACCACTACAACTTGCCAGTGCTACCAACTTGCTAATCTAAATATCTCGTATATGTATTGTAACTAGGTAGGCTGCATCTGATGTCCTCCTTGAACCAATAACTTACACCACGCATAAAACAACTGAAATATCCCGAAGCACTGGGCAATGGTAGCTAGACCAAGATATAATTTTAAACAAGTGAAACACTCATCCATGTGAAGGATTGTGGATGTCCTGGTTCACGTTTTAACTCAATTTCAGGACAAACAAACTACTCCAAATATATTAATTGTTTATCCTGGTGTAAATAACTAGTTATTGCTTTTTTCTGCATCATGACTTGTTTTATTTAACTTTCATTTTGAGTCTTAGTACAACTATATATTACTTCTTTTGCGGCCCTGGACGCGCTGATTTTCAGTGTGATAAATGTTTTCAGTGTTCTACGACCCAAAGTCCTACTACGCTTCTTTATTTCTATGGGATAATTAGTTTTCTGTAGATCACAATAAGTCGAAGGCAATGGTTGACAAACACCGAAAATAAGTCCAGTTTACGGACAATCACCTTCATATTTTCAAAACCAAATTAAATGACACTGGTGTTTTCCCTACGGTGTACCGTCCTTGTATTGGATGATTTAAATAGTAGAATTTTACTGTTACCTTAAGTTGACATTTAGTGACCGATACATTTATTTAAAAAATACTTCAAAAATTTAATTGTGTTTTAGATATTTTTATTCTAATGGAACTTACTCATTCCAATCCTCCTATCAGTAAATGTAGAAGAGAGTTTTTCTAATTCAACTAAGTCATTAAACCCACCATTTGAAATGATAGTATTTTCAGTTGTGTGGAGATTTTCTCCATAATTTCCTCTTTGACCATAACTAATTTCATAGGATTCATGATACAAATTGACTTTCCTACGAGGCTAAATAAAGTAGTAAACAAATTTCTACGAATATGATCATGCTATGATTCTCAATAAACGTAGAGGAACATTTAAAATATACATTGTGACATATTTTACTTCTTTTTGCATACCTTCAAGCCAATACAACATTGAAAAAGTAATATTGCCTCAGGTGAACAAACTATAAATATTTTGCTGATTAATTATATATGCATATGACTAGATACACGATACAAAGTCATACATTCGTCTGGCAAACCAGTGGTATTAGTTCTGTTTACAACACGCCACTAAACGAAATTCTTCGTGTCTTTTAAGTTTGATTCAATTCTCCTGAGTTACTGGTTATGCATTAGAACTTATGAATACAAGATGTAGCAATAAAATGATCCATTTAACAAGTAAAGGTTCAAACCTTTAATCCATATGTTGAAAGCTATTTTTCAGCCATTAAGCCACCACTTCTGGAATTTACTACAAACAATGGCTTCAAATAACAACCGCGCATAATCTATACTTAAGAAATACGGTCATTAGAGTTCCAATCGCACATATACTCAAAAGACAAATCTACTACGTGAATTTTTGAATTTTTCTATCACTACAAATAAAATACGGCTTAGCAAAGGAAAGAAATCCATTCTCCGTTTACTACAAAAAATTCTAATCATGCCATCCTCTAACAAAATAGACAGAATAATTGAAGTTATAAACTAACTATTGATAGTAGAGTGACCATATCACTACAGTTATAAGTTGGAGGCTGAAGATTAGCGAAAGTTATATTTTAATAACCAGATTACGTTAGTTCCTCTTTTTCCCCATTTTTATTTCTTCCCATTACGTTTCCTTCTGCATATTATAGTATACTACTTACTACTATTCAGTAACTTATGTTACTGTTAATCATTTTATGTAATAAGGTCTAGGATGTCAGCTTGTTGTTGCATGTGAAATTTATGGGTATTTACACGTATTCGTAACAAACTACCGACTCCATCATTAAAATCGTGCTTTTCTCAATAGCCTGTCTTCACATTAAAGGTGCTCACTACGCATGTGTGTTTGTGGGAACTTATATATTTGGTGTAACATAGTTCTCGCCTTGATTCTCTGACTGCCATTATTGACTTTGACACATATGTGGTTACGTTTGTCGATGAAATTCCGTAATGGCAACGAAAAAATAAACAATACGGTTTGTAAACCTTAATTTGTGAGGTGTTTGCAGCATGTAACGCTCCGAAGAACGACCCATGAGAGAGTGGATTGACAAACTGAGTGATAGGATATACATGCCGAAATCAGTGATCGCACAGAGCAAACTGAAATAAGAACTATATAAGGCCAGACACGAAAGTTGTTGCGGATCAACTAAAGTCGAATGAAACCACATAAAATTAAAATAAACTCTTAGGAACGTTACGGAAATACGATTACAGTTTCATTATTGAAGTCATATGTAAAATGAAGACATAACTACTTCTACGAAAGTTCCTAGTACAACTACACCTAATTAGACAAGTAAGTTAACAGTATGAAACAATTACAATAAAACTTACACGAGGATTACTGCCTACATAAAATATTGACCCCGGAAGCAATAAAGGGCCATATTCCTGAGCTGGGAAAATTTAGAAAATAGATGAAACAATACCTTTGCTCACAAGTCTTGCATCCATTTGTTTATTCAGTTCAGACAAAATAACTGAATCTGAGCTGCTCCTCAAGCTATTAACATTCGATGTTGCGATAGGTACATGAACCTTGAGAAATAACTTTACTCAACAATAATAAACATACAATACAGTCGTCAGAGTTCCGGAAAGTTAAAAACAAGTCGTTCGGTTGCTCTGTGTGATTCCACGGTAACAATATATCACTTAAAGATGTCATTTCACTATGAAAACCAAAAGGGTCAACAAGCTAGAGGTAACATTAAAAGGTTACACGAAGTGCATGCAAAACCTGATAAAATTAGTAAGCAATAAAATACAACTGGTCAAGAAGGGAATGATTGAAAATACAGCTGTTTTGTGATCCATTTTATACTCATTTTCAATAGCTAGCTCATAATCAACCACAGAGTACTAGGAGGCCCATTAGTTTCATACCGAACTTAATCAGTGGTACTAATAAAACAGTTTCAACGAGCTGGAAAAAGGCATTTTGCGTTAACCGTGGAGCAGTATGGTTCTGAAATACGGGAATGTTCACCGTAAAATACTACCAGGCATCAGATAGGAACTACGATCCAGATCACAACTGAACATATCTATACACCGTACATGAATCACAGTATATTTCCACAGAAGAATTACTAAGATGCATACAGAAACTACAGCTTCAAAACTAAACTCCGATAGCTTAAGAAATCATATCACAACATCCCATATATAAGATAAAAAGTAACAACGATTACAGGGAAACGGGATAAAATATTAAAGCACGAATGAGAGTAATTAAAACACAGCTTCAATACGGTCGGTGAATGAAGGATTTAGCCAAATGAGATACCATTATATATGAAAAACCCTAATTTATTTATTTAATTATTTGAACACAAATATTGGTACAGCAGTGCGTCAATATATATGCGCCGGACAAAACAATGAGAATTTAAAGAAAAGCAAAAAAGGTAAGGAGCGTCAAAAAAAAGATAGAACAATAACGAAGAGATTGATGTGCAAAGTTGCAGTAGACGGTCCCCGTTATCTGTCCTGCTACCACAAATTCCCATCGGCCATCTAAACGACTCTCTTCTGTGCCTAGACTCCTGACCGGAGCATTCAAGAATCCCGCTAGTACAAAACAAAAGCTTAAACACAAAATCAGAACAGTCACCTAAATCATCTATGAGTGTTTGGCCGGTATGTATTTTTTTAGTGTCAAGTACTGAAGGGATTAGTGACAATTAGTAGTGAAGCGCAAAGACAGGTCATAGTTGCAGTCAAAATCGACGACACCGTGAATTCCAGACGACGCTCTTCAGCAACAGCCGAATTCCACCATCAGAAAAATATTAGGTGAATCCATATTGTACACATTGATGTACCTAGACATCCACATACATCGAAGGGCCTAAGAATTATGGATAATAAGAGGCTGAATCTGATCTGTTACTCATAAATACCTTCAAAAGAGGATGGTTGACAAACCTAGAGGAGCATTATTGACGTTCGAGAGTAATATAACATACAAATGAGTGAAACGATATCCGGGCAATATTTAAGCTGCAACTTTACAGCTGATGTAGGACAAAATGAAATTCATTGCAATCGAAAGAACCAAATAACAAACAGAAATGGAGCCAAAAGCACACGGAAAATTAATAAAATTGAGACAAGAGCTTAAAAAATTAGGATGAACATAGTAACTCAGTCCACATAAATAAAATACTTCATCATTTAAAGCCTATTAGATATTTTCGAAATCCCTTGTTGACCATAGTAGCATGTTAATTTGCACCACTATCCTACTCTACCGCACAACAAACAAATTAATGTTAAGGGAAAGAGAAAAACGAAGTGTCAAGTGACAGAAAGTACACTTGAAATGTAGGGTCTGAAAGACACTGTATACTTGGCCGACATATTCTTAACCTAAACTTATACCTGACCAGTTTTATAGAGCGTGCCGTTTCGAAGTCCTATTTGGATGTTTACGAATCACCGATTCCGGGTTGCATATTAAACAAGTTAAGTTCTTCATTTTCACCACGCCCAAAGCATAATTCTTTCCAATAAACAAGTAGTGATTGACGAGTCACACGGAACTATACCTGACTGCTCTAAAAAGTGGGTGAGCACAGTGGACGGAGTAAGGTTGGGTGGTTAGCATTGGTCATATAACATTCTCATCATACACAAGTAGTGCCCTTAGAATACCATATGTACCGAAGCACTTGTGACCCAAGCATTTCCTCTTGCTTCATCAATCATGTTTCATGTTTGTAAAGTGATGCAGAGCAGAATTCTATGTAGTAGATCCTTTTTAATCTAATAAAACTGCATATACAATAATGAGTAAGGTTAACGCACTGTTGCTTAGCCCTAGAAACCCAACACGTTTATTTCGTCTAGCAAGCCATATAAACATATAATTTTCAATACATCGCGTAGATAGATAACATCAAATATGATCTCTTTTCTGAAAACAGAACGAAGACAGTGAACCTGCTAGAAGTGTACTGTTCAGCCTTGTGTATGCTTACGTTTAGCCTGAAGGTTTCTTGTGTTGGAGGAGTGTTATAAACACCAGCTAGAATGCTAAAATGCTATCTAGCTAAATGAATAAGTGAGTTTCGCGCCAAAATCCAACTTCTGTTACTTTAAATATGATTGGTTCGTCTATAAGTTATAGTCTCACCGAGAAAATAACAGGAAAAAATTGAGCTGACGACTCATTATGTACAGAGAATGCACTTACATTTAATAAGGAAGTCAATTGACAACAATCATAAATAACGCGAGCGTGCGATTAAGACAATCTGATAATAGGGACAACAAGTTGATAGTGCGAGGTTAGAAGTTGTAAGTAACGTCGAACTTGTATGTGTGCATTCTGCGTTCAATGCTCTATGTACTCCACAACCTTCAGTCTCCAGTATTTTGGAGAGAAGGTAAATCAACTGTGTTAACCCTTGCACCTTGAAATAACGTAGAGACCTAATCTCGTCTTGAATTTTCCAACAGAAAAGGGTGACATTACATGTTGTGGCAGAGAATTTCATTAATGCATTACTCAGTGAGAGAAAATAAAATTCCAGAAGTAAACGATTTAATCTCGGTGTTTGAACATTTTGAGAATGTCCTCCTAGGTGATAAGCCTTAGACTAGTGGAAAAGACAGAACATCTTAGTTGCAAACTCGTAGTTCAGTATATGGTAGACCAGTGTAGCGGTAAATAAATCCCCAAAATAAATAGCTCTGTAAGTTTTCAACATTGGATGCTGACCATATGTTTTGGTGGACTCATCTAGCTGAAGGCGCTCGGTCATACATGCGCACCAGATCACGTGTGGTAACGCTGTGCTCAACATCTACCACAATCGCTAGCCAGATTAGATCAGAGAATTCCGATATATTGGTAATTGCCAAATACACTCTTCCGATCTCCTCGACTCTGGTTACCCAGAACCGACTACGATCAAGCAACTGCGAACGTTTAACGGCCTTGTAAGTTTCTATGGACGATTCATACGTAAATGCGCTTTACTCATGAAACCGCTAACCGACCAACTTCGTGGAAATGCGAAATCGATTAATTTAGACGACACTGCACGAAAAGCATTCTCCACAATTAAGGAACTTATTACGAAAGAAACAATGCTTGAGCATCAGGACACTCGAACACCCATTAGTATCACAGTAGACACACGCGACTCGACAATCGGAGGATTCTTACAACAATTGGTTAACCACTCCTGGCAACCTTTGGCATTTTTCTCTAGAAGGTTGCTAGACACCGAATCGAGGTACAGCACATTCGGTAGGTAACTTCTAGTTATGTATTGTGCTGTACGGCATTTCCGACATTATATAGAAGGTCGTGAATTCACTATTTTCACTGACCATAAACCACTAACCTTCTCTCTAAGCTCTACTTCAGACAAGTACTCTCCCCGTGAGTCTCGACAACTGGACTACATTTCGCAGTTTACTTCAGATATTCAACACATCTCTGGAGCAAACAATGTAGTCTCAGACGCCTTGTCTCGCATAACTTCCTTGAACAGTTTCCAAGGAATCGACCTTCTTAAACTCGCCCAGCTTCAAAAAGAAGACACTGATCTTCAACACGAGTTATCGTTCACAACACTTAAACTACGTATCAAACAGATGGGAACAGATAACGAACCCTTACTTTGTGACACATCTACAGGTAGGGATCGCTCAATCGTGCCGAAACGTTATCGACGCAACGTCTTCAATACGTTGCACAAACTTTCTCATCCAGGTGTTCGTGCAACCATCAAGCTTATAGCGGAACGGTTTTGCTGGCCTGGTATGAATAAAGACGTGAGGAAGTGGGCACGCTCCTGTGTAAGCTGCCAAATATCGAAGGTTAGCAGACAATAAATGTCCCTTAGGCTCATTTAAAACTCCCGATGCTCGTTTCCACCATGTTCATCTGGATTTGGTAGGACCTTTACCAGATTCAAATGGATACTCTTATCTCTTAACCTGCATAGACCGTTTCAGTCGATGGCCAGAAGCAGTGCCTATCAAGGACATCACTGCTGAAACAGTGGCCCGCACTTTCTCGAACGATGGGTAGCGAACTTCGGATGCCCTTCAACTATCACTACAGATCGCGGACGTCAGTTTGAATCTGATCTTTTCCGTCGCCTGACCACACTTTTAGGAATCACTCGCTTCGGAACGACTGCCTACTACCCACAAGCGAACTGGTTGGTAGAACGCTTTCACCGACAACTAAAAGCTTCACTAACAGTTGCAAACGTTTCACAGTGGACCGACGCTTTTCCACTCGTCTTACTAGGTATTCGCAATGCAGTGAAAGCTGACATTGGATACACTGCGGCTCAACTCGTTTATGGAACGACACTTCGACATACAGGAGAATTCGTGGATCCTTCGTCCTGTTCAATGAACATGGATCTAACCTCCTACACGAACAGGCTTACAAACGCAATGCGTTCAGTTAAACCTGCTTTCACTCGGCCACAATCAACCGATGTTTTCGTTCAACCTGACTTACGATATGGTACACACGTTTTCGTTCGTCGAGACTCACATCGAAGACCATTGGATTCAGCATACGAAGGACTTTTCAAAGTTCTTCAACGTGAATCTAAGTACTATATAGTCGATAAGAATGGAACTAAAGATAGCATCAGCATCGATCGCCTCTAAGCAGCGTATTTAGAAGGAAATCCTATTCACGTCGACTTTCATTCGGTACAACTGCACAACATGACTCCTACACTCATAATTCCTCAACCGACAACCAACACTAGCAATGACACTCCAAATGTATCTGAAGATCAACTTGAAACGACGCGTTCCGGAAGAAGAGTAAGATTTAGAGAACGTTTAAACGACTACTGCACGTAAGGCACTACTCGACATTTTATATTATCTCGATCTTTCTTTTTCGATTTACAATATTTAAAAAAACAATTTAAATATGCTAGCATATTTATATATTATTTTTTTTAAAAACATATTATAAATTTTTTTAACGCTATTACATGTGCTTGAGTTTATTCTACATTTTTTCGCCGACATTGTGTTTTTACGCACATACGAGTGTATCGCGACATGGCCCTACATTTTCTTTTTTCTTTTTCAGGACGGCTGGAAAAGAAAGAGGAAGTTTACGAGGAGTCGAAATTTTCATTGTACTTTTTATTTTTTTACTATGTTGTACCTCGGTCCCATGTAGTAAGGAAAGACGACCAGACGCTGCTAAATCTAGCAAGCCATCAGAAGAGTGTTTACCAACGACAAACTCGTTGGGTTTAAACTTCTGGCTGTCCACGTCTAACGGTCATTACTACCCCACTAGAGGGGAGTGATCTGTAGCGGTAAATAAATCCCCAAAATAAATAGCTCTGTAAGTTTTCAACATTGGATGCTGACCATATGTTTTGGTGGACTCATCTAGCTGAAGGCGCTCGGTCATACATGCGCACCAGATCACGTGTGGTAACGCTGTGCTCAACATCTACCACAATCGCTAGCCAGATTAGATCAGAGAATTCCGATATATTGGTAATTGCCAAATACACTCTTCCGATCTCCTCGACTCTGTCTTTTGATTTCTCTTGGTGGGTACGAATTATATTAGGTGTTACTGGTAGAAGCGTTGTCAAACACTGAATACCTGTGCCATCTTCACTAGTATTAAAATTTTAGTGGCTCCGGTATCTGACTCCAGTTTGGTTGTATGTTGATTGTCACTGAAATATGCATGTCGGCCATCTCCATATGTAGTTACCGACATAATCTGCGTTAGAGGGTGACGGAATTGAATGATTCAAATACGAGAATGAAGTTTAAATACGTATCTCTCATACACTTATTGATCCAAGTAGATATGGAGAGAAGCGAATTGAAGAGAGCATAGCGAAACGATACAAAGTGATGCGCAGCAGACAAGGAGAGTGAAACAATGCGATTGACGTTTATGGCGAAAAAGAGTTACAGACATGATAGTTAGGGTAAGTAGTTAACACACTTGTAATCATATAAAAAGCAGTCAGGGTTAATCAGCCAATAAGTGACAAGGTCAAAATGTGGTTTGTAAAGAATGAATCTATTGGTTTATCTGGAAGCTAGAATAGCCTATGTGGGATTCACATAGAAACTGCTACTAAAATACCTACTGTGGAAAATGTGAGTAATTACGAAATACATCTATGTTAATTATCGTCTCAAACTATTTTGTAATCTGCCGTAAGATACCGGAAACACGTTGAGTCGTCTCAGGTTGTCTTCGTAAGATGGGTCATTGAGACCTTACTCCATCTAGGCGCGCTACGGACTGGACGTTACTTTCAGGCCGAGGTTTTTAGTTTTATTTTTCTAGGATTCTCGCGGAGCTGGATGAATTATTTTTTCTTGGAATTATAGAAGTTAACTCTATTCTTAACTATTAACATATAAACTGTGAATTTCATGCCATATGATAAGTTCTGAAATTAACTTACGGTATTTATGACCATATTCATACAATAATTCATAATAATCTAATTACATATATTCATTTTGACTATACGATCAAACTATACTCTGTCACTTTGAAACCATATATAATCATATTTGACGAAGATTTGTATTTCATATCTGTATTCTATTCCTTAAGGAATATATGGTTATATCGTATTTGAATACTTTAACCCACGTACTTTATGCATCTACAGGATCTATTCAAACCTCTACCTAATATCAAGAAATATATATAACCGTGTATGTTAAAGGACTGTATTCACTATTTTATGAACTATCATTCAAATCGTATTTGGATACTATAAATCATTTAATTTCCGAAGCTACCTGTCCAATTCGGTAAGTCTGTCATAGTTTTTTTTGACAGTATTTTTTTTTCCAAAAAGCTGTTTCATATATTTGTTCAAGAAGCAACATAATAATCTTAGACGGTAATAATCTTCTAAACTACTTGTCTCTGCACCTCCCAATTTTTACCAATACGGACTTTCAGTTTATATATGTATCACGTACCGTACTTTTTTGATTGTTTGTTACTAATTATTGACATTTCTAAATTACTTTACTATATAAGGCTATCTTTCATGTCATATGTGTTAAAATTTATACAACTTGCTCCTTTATATTCTATTTTGCCTCCACACAGTTACTGACATAAATACTTCATCTCCACCACTATCTTCCTGCCATTGTCATCTTTTGTTTTTAACAGCACTAATCCTCACGATACATTCACTCTTGGTTAAAATATAGATTTTGATTTTAAGAGTAACTTGAGCCCTCGGTATTGAATTTTTCACCCGTATTTCCAACATTCTGTTCAATCCACTTGCTATACGTCACTTTCTTATCATGCCACAAAAGAAAATGAA